AGTGATTTATGAATAGACACAGTTAAATGTTTGATTACCTGCCGACTTTTGAAAAGTTTTCATATTTGAATTCAGTACCATTCTATTTTAGTTCAAATTTTTCTTTCTGCAGCCGGTTTTACAGTTTCATGCCCATTACTTAAGCATTTTGAAACTCGCTTAATGTTTCAATTTTAGTAGTCCCATACTAATAATCAGTCAATTTTCGAGTTGTAAGCAAACTACCAAAATTTCTACTTAATCGTACCTGTAAAAGTAACGTTAGATATACTTAGTCAAGTGTAAACTTTGGAAACAAAGTTGAAAATTTTTTGTCTATCAAAATTTACCCGTTATCTTGCTGCTGTGATGATGTGGCTGATGGTAAATAGTAGTGTTTGTTGCTGTAGTTGTTGTTTATGTATTTTTTGAGAATACAAAGAATGAACAAAAAAATAACTGTAGTATTTCCACAAGAAACTAAAAATGTCACTATTTCTTCTTTCCTTGCGTCTGTAAAGTCTTCGATAAAAACCTTGGAAAATTATTGGTACGAGGAGCTATTGAAGTGGTGAATAAAAATAGGTGGATACCGGAGGCAGTGTTTTGAAGTCGTCTTTCCTTGTTCCTTCTCTAATCCCATTTCTGCTTCACCGCAACCAGTCCTACTTTTCTCATCACATCCCTTATCCACTTATCTCTTTCCGTTTGCCATCCTAATTCATATTCTCTTCTAAAATTTGACACCATTTTGACTAGAAAAAAAAAATAGAAAGAGTGCGGCTAATTAAGTGGCAACAGAAAACTGACCAGAACCACCTCCAGTAAAAACAATAAATTAAGAAGGAAAGAAAAATTAAACAAACGTTATAATCAGCAATGTTTCAATCAAAAACTACTACAGCTGATAAAAAATGATAAAATATTAATTGTTAGGATACTCATATACTCACTACTTTTTTAAATTTATTCCTGAAAGTTATAGCTGCCCCATTTATTTTTAGCTATTAGTCAGCCTACGCAGTCAATCCGTCAGTCCGCTTAGTTTCTTTTCTTCTCTTAAAACAGCAACAACCCAATTAATAAAAAAAATTTATATGTATGATTTTCCCACTGTTTTGCTTTATTCTTCTTTACAATTTTCTTTAGTTTGCTTTAAATAAGTATTTTCCTTTTTCGCACAATTTTTTACTTTTGCTTCAAGTTTTTTGTTCCTTTTTTTCAGCTCCCTGCCTCGCCCTCCACCTCCCCTTTATTTTCTACTTCTGAATTCGTTCTCGCATCTTCTGTGATGCAAGCTGAACACTCAACTTTCTAACTGAGCTTCTGAAAGCAGAAAATAATAAATACACACAAAAGAAAGAAAAATAGCACCAGTATAGTTTGTTTTTATTAACTTCTTCTTCTCTTTTTGTTTTTATTCTTATGTTTTTTTCTCTTCTTCCTTTTTTAGCAGAAATTGATTTAAAATTGCTTCTAGAAAATTAAGCTTTCAGGCTGCAATAAACAGCCAATGGCTTAGAACATGGTATAAGGAACTACGCAAAAAATTTAAGGATTAGATGAAGCAAAAAGAATGAGAAGGGTTGAAAAAGGCGCATAGAAGTGGAAAGTGGTGACGAGGAGAAAGATGTGAAACAAAGACGGTACATTTTCAGAATTCTTCACTTCTGCTACTTATTACAAATTGCTCAAAAATGTGGGGAGAACAAGAGGACAGAAGGGCAAAAAGCTGTCTGGAGAAAAAAGCAAGATGGAATAAGGCAAATAATTCTGATAATGCTTTAACAAAAACAAAAACAGCGACTTTTGAACTTAACTAATAAGATGATCTGTCTAGTTTGTATCCGGATTAATATGTCTGATCGGATAGCCACTAGCTCAAAAAGCTGAAAGTAAGATAAAATTTTGCCGTATTTCACAGCAATACTGAAATACGCATAACTTGGTCAATTCCAAGAAAAATAACAACAGCACTAATATTTGATTCTGTTTCACGAATAAGAAGAGGCTAAAAAAATGAGAAAAGAAAGAAAAAAAAGATTAGAAAAGAAAGTGAAGAGAAGAAAAGGTTGAAACAATGAAAGTGCAGAATTTGAAAAAGAGTAAACAAATAAATAAACAAGTGAATAAATTCCTTCTGTCTTTCAACACTCAATTTTGATTGAACCAAATGGGTCAAAAATTGTTATTATCAACAAATATAAATGAAAAAAAATTTGAAAGGTAGTATATATTTCATTCTCTCTCAATTACAACACTTCTTTTCACTATCAGTCATCCTTCTTTCATGGAACAAAGTTTTTCAATTATTAATTTATTTTTTTTTGACCAATGCTTAAATGTAAGCCAAAAATATCCTTTCTATTTGTTTCTATTTGTTTCAGTATATTCAGTCTTTTATACACGAAAGAAACTGCTGGAACTGCGCGTAAAACAGAAACTGCAGCAAGCATTTACAAATATGCACCACATTTCCCGTTGCGTTCGTCTGTTTGTTCGTTCATTCCCTTAACACTTTCAAAAATTTTTTGTTTTTACGAAAAATAATCGAAATTATTTGTTTTTTTTTTTTTTAGATAGTCCCAAAGATACAGATAAATTGGGAACTAAGGGTAGTGAGGAAGGGACATGACGATATGATGCAAAAATTGAGGAATAAGGTCACAATGAGCAAGTTTATGACGCAATAAAATTTTTTTCCCATTTCGAAAAGCATGAGCGACGTTTGAGTAACTAAATTAGCGGAGCGAGTAAATTAGTGGAAAGTGCTGCTACTGCTCCAGTGCTTCATATCATCTGTACTGACAGTTATTAAAACTAGGAACCAGGCGGTCAACAGTGCCCGTAATTAGCATGTTTAATTGTGGTAGCTTCTTGATCTGCGGAGCATAAAACCTCCACCTCTTCTCTTTTCTTCGTTTCCCTTACGAAAATAAAACCCGCTGTTAAAAACTTTGAAATGATAGGGTTCTGCAAGAGAATAAGAAAACAACTTGACTTCTTCAAATTAAACAATTTTCTCGTCTTTTGGCAATTCAAATATCCCACCTCGTCTTATGCTTTGTTTTGACTTGTCTCTCCTTTCCGCTTTTAAATCTTCGTTGATACCGTTATTCAGTCGGTTTGTTCCTTTTTTTTTTGCTGCTGTTGTCCATTAAAGAGAAAATCCAAAAAAAAAATTTTTTTCTTTGTTTTGACAGAGAATAATGCCATCGTGACTTTGAAACAGACAATTTTTTTCATCTACATTGTTGCTGTCATTTCCCTCAAAAAACTGCTTTATTCCTGCAGAGGTTCCTCAGAAAAAAAAGAAAACAGACGGACCAAAGAACAGAATTTTTTGGTCGCCCATTGCTAACCTCTCCGTAACAAATCAAGACAAAAATTGCGAAAAAGAACATTAGCAACAACTGTAATGGTCTTATTCTATAAACTATAAATTAATGAAAATGATAAATTGTAAAACAGAAAAAAAGAGGTAAGGGAGAAGGCACCGAAAGAAAATGAATCAATAAAACAAAATAGCTAAGCCAAATATAGCTGTTTGATATACCGCTATAGTTGAATTAGTTTAGAGATACTTCCACTACCGAATCTCAACCACAGGTGTACTAGTCGTATAGCATTTATTATAGCAGAACAAAATACAGCTCTTTTCCTTTTTCAAAAAAAAAAAAAATAATAATAATAATAATAACAATAATAATGAGCTGAGAAAGTAAAAGTAAAAAAACGGACAAAAAAGTAACTTGCCCATTTCTTAAAACATGCTTAATTCAAGACTCGAGAATTTTTCCTTTTGCTTAAATATAAAAACATCCTTAAACCAAAAAAATTACAGAAACAATATGACAAAGAATAACCGCTAACAAAATATCAGTTAACTGTTTAGTGTTATTTATTACGTCATGTAACATGAACGTACGATGAGCACTAGAATAGCCAAAAGATACAACAACAAATACGGCCTGAATGGCGAATAATAGATATAAAAACTCATGCTTAGCAGAAAACACAACAAAATGACGTTGATCACAATTTTAACCCGGCAGCAGTATGACAATTTGTGGTTCAGAAACAGCGTATCAAACTGTTTCAACTTATTTATCATACTTTTTTTCTGTTTGTCTCATGTTTCGATTCTCAAAGAAATAGTAGATCAAACAAGACAAATTTCTTTTTTTCCTGAAATACAATTAATCTTCGAGATCAAATAAAATAATTCCCAGAAAAGCGTGATCGGCTAAGTCCAGCTGTGTTAATTCAGTTTTCCCTTCTGCTTAGATAGCTTTACGCAACCACGACGACATAAAATCCGCCAGGCATCTTGAAGATTTAGAAGAACTGTTTGCTGGCGCTGCAATTAATCTTCCATAAAGTTACAGAGTTTCGCCACTGGTTAAGATAAATAAGGGTGGTCTCACTACCAATCTGAAAATTTTTTCCACCCTCGTCATTTTTTTCCTTTCGCAATCTCACCTTTCACATTTTTTTCTTAAATTAACAGTCCAGTAGATCGAGTTAGCCGTTCTTCGGTCACAGCAACGTTCCCCCTGACCGTTCCATTATAATCAACGTCTTATTTTCATTTTTATAGTGATAATTATTCAACTGAATTTTTCAAAATTTGCGCAAGAAAATCCGTACCTGTTCTTCTGTCCAACCAAACCGTTCACTAGTGTTTAAACCAACAAGATAATAAAAAAATTGAAAAAATGTAAAACGAAAAAATAAAAAAAATTATTGCTTACACGCGAATAAACATTTAATTTAGAAGGAAAATAAGCCATTACCATAAAAAACTTCAGAGAAGTCCAAGAACTTTCTTCCTTTAATGACTTATCGATGACAAATTAATCAATAACTTCGTTTGCTGTAATTTTCTGCTATAATAATCAGTTGCCTTCTTGCTTTTTTTTTTTTTTGCTCCTCTAGCAACAAATAACGCGGAACCTTAGCCATCTTTAACTGTATACATAAGAAAACTAAAACTGGCTGCCGAACAAATGTTCTTGGAATCATAGTAACAAAAACCGCTGTTTAATCATTACCAGTGATATTACATTTGTTGAATCACCCATTCTTCTCTTTCTTTTTGCCACCGAACCACTGATTGAGGTAATACCTGATAAGTTGTCTTCAACCACATTAAAAGTCACTACCATCATTCTGCTGAAACAAAACCCATTCAAATATGACAAAAATAACAGTAAACTGTCTAACTCTCACATTTTGTAGTCTCGCTTTTAAAAAAAGCAAGAACGATACATTAATGCCTTTCCTACGTTTATTCACCCGCATTCGCACCTTACTTCGAGAACTTCGGAAATTTGGAAAACTCCTCAAAAATTCATCAAATGAGCGATTCTTTGCTTTTATTAAAAGAAAAATCATCAATAAAGCCTGCACTGACGAATTTTACCTCGTAAAACAGGTGCCTAAAAAAGATAAATCAAGTAAAACGTGGAAACCTTCCTCAGCTATACACAAGTATAATGAATAAGTAGTAAAAAATTTTGATAATGAAACCTCTCAAATTCCGCCACGTCAATTATCGGATTCACTTCTTCAACTAATGTCTTCAAGTACGCAGACCGAAATGACTGAACCTCGTGTCCAATGTTTCCCCGCGATCCCTCTGACCATTTCCTTCCCAAAAGCTTCGCCTCTACTGAAAAGCGGAAACACAAAAAAATGGAGATTAACAATGAGAACATGCAACTTGTTCGTCAGATACTGAGTGTTAATCAAGTCACAGAAACAAGAATTAAAATAGTCCACAAAAAAGAGTCACTAAAGCACACTAATTTTCCAATTTTTTCCCAATTTAAACGTGAAACTGCAGTAGAATAAAAAAGAACATTCTAATAATATCCGGTTGAATTAATAGATCAGGGCAAACCAGGCAAGATTCCCAATTAATTTACAAGAGATCGCATCAGACACCGCAACTGAGGTGGTGGTTTCCTCTCCTTTCCATCATCACTGTCCTCATATCCTTTCAGTAATCGTTTCAACATTCTTGCCAAAATAAGTGCAAAAGTGCTCAAATGAAGGTATATACACTTGTATATACATTTTCCGAGTGACTATACTATTAACAGCGATAAGTCGTCATTATCTCTAACTTCCAATAACAGATCAACAGTAGACATCATGTCTACGTTTAGCTAGAAAAGGCAGTAATGGCTAACTGAAAAGAAAAACTGAAATAACTTCAGATGATTGATTTTATTTTGCTTTCTTTAATTTGACAGGGAAGAAGTTGAACCTCATCAAAAACTCAATTTTCTCCCTGTCAAACAGTCCAGATCCCTAACTGCATCTATCCCAACTTCCAAAAAATCCTTCCAGTCAAACCACTTTTGCATAAAAAGATAGCCAAACACGAATTGGTATGAAAAGGAAAAAATCAGCCAACAAATACAATTTTCAATTTAAAAAATAATTCACAGTTATTCTGAAGACGGACAAATTAATGCCTGGACATAGATTGGTTGACCTCTTCCAGAAGCTTGATGTGAGGCTGCCAGTGAGATACACCCAGAAAAAACGAAAAGGGAAAAATCTTTGACAGCGAAAATCAAAGAAATTGCCAACAAAAATGCTGACAGAATAAAACAGATATCATTTCAACTAGAAAATTTAAGCCGCTTTTGAGGCTAACGCTTTCCAGAATGTCTTTAAAAAGGTCTCTAAATCAAAAAAATCTTCGTCTAAGTGAGAAAAAAATGAAACTGAATAAACTTACAACGTTATAAAAAACTTCAGCCTCCGACAATTAGTTATTGAGAACCAAACAATATTTCAACCTTTAAAATAAACGTTTCAGATACTATTGGTCTTAAGCAGTCGATGAGTGAGCCTCATGAGCATCCTTTAAAAATAAGAAAGCACTGCGTACGGTTTATGAACATACTTTATTAACAACTGCCAAAAATTCATTTATGAGAAACCCTTAAAAAAAAAAAAAGCAAATATACAAAATTGAAAAAATTGCATAAAAACGAATTTCAAAACTACTTTTAAAAAGGTCAATTTCCACCGTAGCTAAGGTTTCCATCAACAAACCAGTAAAAGTTCCCTTCCAAATAACCAAACATCAAAAACTCATTAAAATCTCCCTACTGCAACACGATTTTGAAAAAAATTTGCATTTTACCAATTCCACAATTTTCCTCTTTTCTTATTCTGTCCCGTAAAGCACATCCTCTCTATGTGCCAATAAAAAATTCAAATCCCATAGACTACTGCAGAAGATAATATATACATTATATATATGCTGTAATTTTTCACATGCTTAATAATCTGTTGTTCCTAGCTTTCTCCAGTTTCAATTTTTTTCTCCCTCATCAGCTGGTCGTCGCTTAACTGTCTTTTACCCGTTAAGCTACTAAATGAACTGACTCAGTCGTTGAAGATAAACCGTTTGAAAAATTTTTTTTGGACCGGATGATACAGAAAAACCCAACTGTGAAGAAAGGAATCGAGAAAACCAAAAAACCAACTATCACTGCAACCCAAATACTTTTTTTTTTCCAGCAAATCCCAAGTTACCATTCTTATTTTGATATCCAATCCTTAAAGAAATGTAAACATAATCTGAAAAACTTACAGTTACACTGCAATAAAACTTTATATGAAACTGAAAGCTGAATAAACTTTTGAAAAACCCTCTTTAGCGATTTTCAGTAACCCACCCTAAATATATGCACAAGGAAAGAAGGAACTGCAGCATTAACATGACAATTAAGATAACCGCAAATTCAGTCCTATGCTGCAAAAACCAAAAATAATTACAGACTGAACAAAAACTATTTCGCCACCAAACAAACGTAGCGCTTTAAAAAAAAACAGATAAACTTTCTTTTACCACTTCCCTAGGCACATCTAAGATCCTAGAGATATATTAAAGCGAAGTAAAAAACGAAAAAAAAAAGTTGCTCAAGAAATGCTGATACATGAGACTTGAGATGCTCTCATCGATAAGAAAATTTGAGTAAAACTAATTTGAAGAGAATAACTTCACTTTCGATTGCCGCTGATTACGAGTATAAAATTTAGCCAACTGGAACTCTTCACCACTGCCACTGTCTTTATAAATTCCTCCCCAAAAAAAATAAAAAAATAAAAAAAAAACCGACTACATAAAAAGGCTTTTTTTGACTACTTGTGTCAATAAAACAAAAAATACAATTGTCTATTTATACGTTAAAATATTCAAATAATCAGTTTGTTCCTTCGTATTTTTTGGAAAAGATTAAAAGCATATGTAAGACTAAAAGCTGTGTAATTTACTGATGCACTTACTTTACTATCAAAACTCCTAATACCTACTTGACTCATCGTAAATCACTAAAAAAAAAAAGTACAGACGATAGTAAATTGGTCAAATGTCCGAGAGTTGTTGCTGTTTATCGTTTCCCCTTCTCCTTTCCGTTTTTTAATCTGCCTTTCCCCTTCCTTTTTTAGCATTCAATTTAACTGTTTCAAATAAAAAAAATATTGAAAAAACACAAAGCGGATGTTACGTCTTGTTCTTGTAGTTCACTTAAACAAAAAAAAATTAGAAAACCAAAATTCAAAAAGAACTAAAAGCACTGCCTGCTGACTAAAAGAAAAAATTTACAAAAAAAAAAAAAAAAAAAAAAAAAAAAA